CTCACCTCATTCACGAAAAGCTTAATATTTCATCTTGAGCATGGGTTACCTCTGTCTTTGGATGTGATGCTTAAAACTCACCTCTCTGTTATGTCGAGGCCTTTCCAACTTGTATTGTTTTAGAATTGATTAGTTGAACTCATTTTCCAATCTTTGTCTTTGTAGTTACTGGAGAAGGCTGAAGCCAGAGAGAGGGAGCGAGAGAAGGAGGAGGCCAGGAAGATGAAGAGGAAAGAAGCAACCTTCAAAAACATGCTGAAGCTGGCCACCCCCCCGCTGGAGCCCGAGACCACATGGGAGGGGGTAAGACCTATGGAACGACTCTTATGCTTTAAAGCACCAGCTGATTTGTGTTTACATCGCTCTCCTTAATCTTCAGTTTGCATAGACTGCTCATAGCACCAGGTCATAGGTCATAGCACCAGGTCATAGGTCATAGCACCAGGTCATAGGTCATAGCACCAGGTCATGGGTCATAGCACCAGGTCATAGTTCATAGCTCCAGGTCATAGTTCATAGCACCAGGTCGGTTTACTGATCATGATCTGTGATGATTTCAGGTCCGAGACAGATTCCTGAAGGAGTCTGCGTTCGAAGACGTGACTCTGGAGTCGGAGAGGAAGAGGATATTCAAAGACTTCATGCATGTCTTAGAGGTGCGTGTGTGGCAGTGGGAATGAATCATCTTGGTGACAATGTTTATTACCAAGGCATGTCTTCACCCCGTCTCTTCTTCTACAGCATGAATGCCAACACCACCACTCCAAGACAAAGAAGCACTCCAAGAAGTCCAAGAAGCACCACAGGAAGCGCTCCCGCTCTCGATCGGTTAGTCCTCGCCGCGCACACAGATCCCTCCGCCTTCCTCTCAGGCTCCTCTTCATGCCTCATTAACCTGTGCTTCCCTCCACCTTCATGTTTCCACATGTTTGCACGAGGGCTGTACCCGAATATCCGTTCGTTGGAGTACTATTCGGGTTTCAATTTCGTTTTTCTTTTCGTTTTTTTTTTTTTATTTATTGAAATCTCCAATATCAACGTAAGAGCTTGTGCCTCTTCGGTGCTAACACTTAACCATAAACGTTATCGTTTACTTTCTCAGTCTTTATACTAGATATTACTTTTTCTCCATTAATCTCCGTCACGCTGTTTCCATAGCAACAACAACTTCCTGTCAACTGCGCTAACTCTCCTTCAAAATAAAAGCATGTCCATAAATAGGAAGCCAAGCCAAATTACACTTAAGACATATACGACTGCAACGAAAGTAACAAACACAATGCGATATCCTTTTCAATTTCAAAGAACACAAATTGGGTTACATTAACAAATAACTATAAAACAACAATACTGTAGAATAACAAAAAGAATGCCGTGAATACACGTTTTGAAGTGGTTCGTCTCCACATGTTTCCTCATGTTTCCTCATGTTTCCTCATGTCTCCACATGTTTCCTCATGTTTCCTCATGTTTCCACATGTTTCCACATGTTTCCTCATGTCTCCACATGTTTCCTCATGTTTCCACATGTTTCCACATGTTTCCACATGTTTCCTCATGTTTCCTCATGTCTCCACATGTTTCCACATGTCTCCACATGTTTCCACATGTTTCCTCATGTTTCCACAGGGCGGCTCAGAGTCTGAGGACGATGAATACCACAAGAAGAAAAAGAGGTCACAGTCCAAGTCTCCTTCTGAGCGCTCATCTTCTGGAGAATCTGGTGAGTGGCTTTCAAAGCTCCCATATATTCATTTCCTCAGTGATGGAAGAAGAGCAGCACTTTGACATGTTACTGACATGTTACTGACATGTTGTGCCTCTAACCAGAGAGAAGCTACAAGAAATCCAAGAAGCACAAGAAGAAGGGAAAGAAGAGACGCCACAAGTCTGTAAGGAACCACTCCCAAGTGCATGTGTTGTGTTTCCATGTATGTGTACGTTGTGTATGTTGTGTATGCTTGTGCACTAATGGTGACTCTAACCACCAGGGATCACCAGACACTGACACTGAGAAGAAAGGGAGAGAGCGCGACGGGAAGCGGGAGAAGGACTTGGAGAAAGATAAAGAGAACGACAAGTCCCGAGGGAAACCTCGCTCGGACTCTAAACAGAAGTCCCCTAAAAGAAAACCAGTTAAGGAGGAGGTAGGTTTCCTAAACGGATGAAGTATTTTCTAACAAAGTGATATTTGAATGGCTGTTATTGTGACCATGTAAAGCATGTATGGTGTTAGCCAATGGGCGAGGTCATCACTATGATCGTGTGAAAACTCCCAAACGTTCATCTTTACACCAGTTAGTCATTGTTTGTGTTTCACTGAGTCTGTGTGTTGTGTTCAGGGCGGCTGGGATACGTCAGGCAGCGAGCTGAGTGAAGGAGAGCTGGAGAAGAGGAGGAGAACTTTACTGGAGCAGCTGGATGCCCCCTGATGATCACGTGTCATTGTATTGGTACACTTACAACATGCATTCCCCTCCGAGCTCCTGACTGTCCGGGGACTGAGTGGTTGCATCGCTCTCCGGTATTTATGGGGTGTGTGAAACTGAGCTTTAGCTTATTTGGTGACTAATTTGAGTTCAGGAAACTGATCAGCTGATCAACCTTTCATTGTCAGGTTGTCTTTTTGTTGCTTTCGTTAGTTGTTTTTTTTAGTTGATTGTAGCTGTACATGTTTTTCATTGCCAATCATTTTTATACTCAATTAAAAGTATATCCTGAATGTCACACTGACTGTTCTTCGCCTGGAGAAGTAGCGGTAGAAGAAATAGGTTCTAATCTAGGACAACATATCTTTCATAATCTCTTATTCATCCTCAGAGATAATTAAACCGTTTTTTTGATCTGGTCTTAACTGCAGCGGAGTTGTCCATTAAGGTTTTAATGGGAGTGTCTGTTCAAATGGAAATATTGTCGTGAAATGCAATAAAATACTGGTTCAATGATTATTTTTGTAAATGCATTCAAAGGCTCAAATATGGAAGTATGAGTCAGGCATATCACATAACAAACCCTCCAGTATGTGTTATTCTAAAAAAACATGTTATTATTCAGTATGAAAGTCATGTAGTGTAGCTTTCCCTTAATTCCACATCATTTCAGAAAGAGGAGAAAATCATACCCAGGGTAAACAGTTTTATATTCAATGTAAATAGTTTATTTGATCATATTCGTTGGAAATCTCATTTCACCTATTTTTAAAAAAAAAGTTATTTTGACATAAGCACAAACTGCCTAAAATACATTTCTGGTGAAAAAAATAAAACATGCCAGTATTATCCAGTTAGATGTCGCTATTACAGACAGTGAAGAAAACAAAATGGAGATGAACGGCAGCACGTGATTCTGTGGAGATGATGGCAGTCACTGAGCCTCAAAACCAGCTGACCAATACAAGTTTATTTTAGATACCTCTTTTATGATTAAGAGGTTTAATGTACCAACACTTGAAATCAGAACGTGCTGCATGTTCCTGTATCTGAAGTTGAGGCTCCTGTGAAACACCAGTCAGCAAAGTAATGATTTGAGATGATTCAACACTACTGAGTCCGGCTGCATTTGGCTTAATTAAATATACAAACAAATGGAAACAAAAACTATAAGTTAAAATAACATTCAAGTTGTATAGCACAAAGCAATGAAAACTTTTTTGTTTAAACAATATGTACAATATTAACCATCAGGTAATGTGAATTAGGTAAAAAGAAAACATGGTTTGTAGCAAAATATCTGTACATTTAGGTTTACTTTGTGTTGAGTACTTGTTTTTGACCGCAGACACACATTAGATGAAAACATGAGCTTAAAGAAATCCTTTCAGTGGTTAAATACTATACATTAAAATTACAATAGTGAGTAGACAGTAGCCTGGAATATAATCGATTTGTAGAAAGAAAAACAGTCGACAGAGATGAAATGCAAAGTCCAGTTATGACAATGAGACAGGGTTCAGCATATTGTGCAGTATTTACGTTTGGTATAAAATGTTTTCAATGTTGCTTTACAGGCTCATTCACTCCTGACTTGGTCCCAGAAACCAGACAAACTGCTGTGCTGCTACAGAAATGCAACATTTAAAATGGACGGTAGAGTTTATGAGAGCACTCATTGATTTTAGATCGACAAATTCAATCTTGATCCATTTACTTAAACAAATTATGGAAGAGAAGTCAGCATCTGCCTGATATGTAAAATTCTCTTGTCTTGATTACTTTTTCATTCTCTTCTCATACTTTAGTAAAACAAATTACTTTTCTGATAACCTTTTTTAGGCCTGACCATCAGCACTTTTAGTCCGAGTTGGAAAAACCTCATGAGATAAGAAAGAGTGCAGGTTGAGCACATCGTATTGTAAGAGGAATGTAAAAGAGCACCGGAATGTACCGCGATAAAACAGAGCATCAAACCCAACACGTAAAGATGTCATATCTGTAACAGCTAAAGGGAGCGCGTCCCATACATTCTACATTACGTTCCCATCTCTTTACGTGGCTCTTAAGGCCACTGCAAGTCCAGTTTCACACATCGTCAAATTAAAGCCAGGTCAAGTGGTGTTGCTCGAAGTGGGAAATATTAAAAAAAACAGTCATCAGACAAACAAGACGGCGTGACATTAGCCCACAAAATCAGTTCAGGCACTTTGCTCGTCTAAGGTTTCAACCTTCAGACACTTTCAATCCAGTCCCATACGTCCCAGTCCTTCATGGTGAAAAGCTGCTGCTACGCCACAGACATGGAATCATTCTTATGTAATATATATACATACTCATCTCTATGGTTGCTACACTTGTCATCTTTCACTTCTCGTCCTTCATTCTACATCCAACATCCTGTCTTACACATCCTTGCCTCCCCCCCCAGCACATGCACGTCTCCCTCGTCACACGACCACTTCGTTGTTGAGCGGCCGCAGGTTCTGATCATCGAAGCGTCTCCTGACACTCCTCCGCACAGCGTCTGCTCGCCTGTAAGGCTGATTCCTCAAATCTGAGGAAGAAGGGGGGCAGGACGGGGAGGGGGGGGTGGATAAAAGAGCTGTCAGTCATCTTGTTGAGGTGTTTTGATGAGCCAACATGCTCAGAGTGCTGGCAGCCTGTCTGTCAACGCAGCATGAGTTCTACACAGAAGAGAAAAGGCCTTGCAGGTCAGCTGTCTCTGTGCATTACCACGGAGACAGGCTTAGGGTTTTTGACTTTGTAGAAAACCTTCCATGCATCTGGGGAAACCCCGAGATGCACCTTCATCGTAAAAAGGATGAATAAACGACTGAAAAGAGTAGCTATTTTTAACGTTAGACATTCAAGTTTACTGTTATGAAGGAGTGAAAGAGAGGGTAGAGGTATGTGGATCCTAATTGAGAAGACAGTAAAAGAAGAAGGGAGGTAATAAAGGGATGCTTGCCAGGTTTGGGACACATCCACCACTACAGGTTTGCTACTGGACGAGTTCCTTACCCTCGAGTGGACATTGGGAAATTTAGTAATATTATTCTTCTTTAGGGCTAGATAAAGAGAAGACAAAGTGGAGGTTAGAAATGGAGGAGGAGGAGGCTGACCACAGCATGTCAGCCCGACATATTCACACCGGCTTTGCTAAGACAGCACTGTGAGAGCAAAGCAGTGGCAGCAGGCTGCATGGGGGCGGGGCGGGGGGTGTAGGAGAGTGTTAAGAGGAAGGAGTAGAGGATCAAAGCTTCTATCTTTTCTTTCTGTGTTATAAACTCAGGCTACTTTGCGGAGGCGCTACCAGCAGGCCAGAGAAAGAGCCCGTTTCAAACTCCCAGTACAAGGCAGATGTGAACTGAAACAAACAGCAGGATTCTTACATTCAATAGCAGATACACCAAAACCAAAGCATGCAAGCCTCCAGAGGAATGGATTACTAATGCATAATGACTATAAACAGGTGGAAGCCGGGCTGCAGGTTAGTAGCACACACACAGTGCAAAGAGATACCAAAGACATAAAGAGTGCTGCAATGTAAGTGAGTATTCATATGAAGAAGTCATGCAGAGTATTGGTGAGCCAGACTCATCACAGTGAGGTGAGCGGTCAGCAGGAGCAGGCAGAGCGTGTGGGCTAACAGTGAGATCAGGGATGCATTGTGGGAAAGAGATGAAGCAATCAGCATGCGAGAAGCTGTAACAGTAATGATATGTGATAACAAACATCCATTTATCATTAAAACACACAGGAAAGCAAGTTATAATGCCACAGGCACTTGGAAGATCTGTCATACTGCCATCTAGATGACTCATGAATAATATATATACAGAAACGCTTTATTAAATTGGATCTAACCAGTGAAAACTGTATATTATTTGATGTGTTTGTTTACAATCAGTGACCACTAGATGGCAGTATGCAGCTAAGCACTTGATGAGAAAAATTACTCTACACTAATTTGAATCTCCTGTCAGTGCAGATAAGAGTAACCTTGGAGACCGTTTCCTCTGTGACATTATGGTTTGCCATGGTTGATAAATGAGGTGTCACACTTCATGCAGGTGGGCAGAAAAAACTGTTATACCGACACCAAGTCATTGTAAGGAGGGAGAAAACATGTGAACACACGCAAACACACACACAAAGGCGTGTGTGCAAAAACCATGAGATCGGACTCAGTGCACAGTTAGGTCCAAAAGTGTGAGGGGAGGTGTGTGACGGTTTAAAAAAGGGAGGAAATGTGTCCAGAGGCATGCAAGGGAGGAGGAGAGAGAGGCATAAAGAAGAAAACGTTTTGTTCCAGCAACCTTAGAGAAGAGAGAGAGTTCTACAAGCTTAGTAATGGTACTCCTCATTGAGGGCGGGCTCGCAGAAGAACCGAGAGCCGCGCTTGGCGGTGCGGGCGGTAAAGGGCACTGTCTTCAGAACTGTATCGAGAACAAGGAGGACAACAGCCAGGACAAGACAAGACAAACACAGTATAAGACAAGCAGACTCCTACAGGTTTTAGCACTGGTTAGCGCTAAGCAATATACAACAACAGCATCGGGAGGGGCCGGGCTAAATGTCTTTCTGGGAGTTCATTCTAGCAGTTAAGGCTCCACTGAAGGGCCTGAAACAAACTTTACCATTCACTTATTCTGGCTTTGTTTGTTAATATACATCAAAGTTATATTGTTACAGAGATAACACTAAAAAACATTAACATTATTCCTGTGGTGGAAAAAGTCTGAAGGTAGTGTTAAGCCACAACTCAATGTAAATATACTCCTTTTTTTAAGTAAAATGTTCTTAAAATAAATTCTACTACTGTCCATGTCAGTTTAATCGCCCCTCAGAGGGCTCAAGATGTATTCATTTACATCTGATTAAATAATATTGTAAGATTTAGTCACATCCCGGCCCCGTCTATGTACAGATGTACAGTGTTACAAAGCAATGACAGAGCAGACAAGATAAGCAATGATCATAGAACACATTGAGCTGAGTGTCAGTGCATGTTTGTACTCATTAGGTTACCCTTTAGTTCTCAAACATCTGACAGAGCCAAAGTCATTGAGTTAGTTGGTTTAGATTCCCCTTGTTAATGACTGAATTTATAGCATTAAAGAGGACCTTCATGCAGTGTGTGTGTGTGTGTGTGTGTGTGTGTGTGTGTGTGTGTGTGTGTGTGTGTGTGTGTGTGTGTGTGTGTGTGTGTGAAGGGAGAGCATCCAGGCCAGTGTGTCGTTACCCGTGATGATGTCCTCTATCGCTCCATCTTTGCCTTCGTAGACATGGCGGCTGTCTTTCACCTGTTTCTTCCTGAGCTCCTGGATCAGCTCTTGCTGCTGCCGCTTGCTCTTATGAGGAGACTGAGGAGAGACATTGTTAAACATTTATTAATAAGTTATACTCTGAGTCACAAGTCAGTCATTTCTACAAGTGATTCTGCCACTCGTTATTTCCCTCGGCTCAGATCATAGTTCTTTTGCTTGAAACATCCTCTGTAAGTTAGTGCATGTGTAAGTTCATTAAACCATTAAGGGAAGTTAACGGCTGATCCTGAGTCAGTGTGATGTGGCTCAGCCGGGCGTCAGACCCAGATATAACTGTACCCGGCAGGCTTCGCTAATCCTGTGATCAGGAAGAGGGAGGATGAAGAGGTAAGGGGAGGAAGAGGAACCGGCTTACCTTCTGCTCACTGTGATCCACTGTGGCCTCGTAAAAAATAGGGGAGAGGGTATAGGGAGGGAGGGGATGTGAGAGAATAGAGGAGTGGGGTTAAGGGAATGACTTACCTTGGTGTCTTCCTCCATCATGGCCTCCTGTTCTAAAAGCTTCTCCATCAAAAGCTGCTCCTGTCTCTTTTTATGCTCATTGTCCTCTTCTGCTTGCTGAGGAGATGAAATACAAATGTCACACGGTTACAAAATGTTGAAATATACAACTGTGTACGTTACAGCAAAGTATGCTGCTGAGATGATATGAGAAACTCAAACAATGCATGTGCTGCTCAAGCTGAGATTCTATTTCAGTATCATAAATGTGATTAATGAGGTCCTTAGTGTGGTTAGGATTAGAAGTGCACTAAAACATGGTGGGATGTTTTTGTTTTAAATTTGACTTTAGATTGGTGTAGAAGAAACGGCTTCTCTTTGTATCCCCACACTGACCCTCCCTAGACGCTGCTGGGACTTAAAGGGGAACTCTTCCAATGTTACACTTCAAAGACTGTTTACAGGTCTTGGGGAGTACTACCGTGAGGAAAAAAGTGATATAAGCCTTTTGTGGCCACAAAGACAGCTAAAGGGATTCTAGCGATGTCCCTTAAGGCAGCGTCGTTTGGGGCTGAAGACTACAAGCTTAGAAAATGACAGAAATCAGGGGGTGTAAAGAAAGAAAGTGTATCATTCCTGTAGGCTGCTCCTCATCGCTACTTGAGGATATTTTGGCCACTTCTAGCATAGCTCAGCTGAATAAAAGACTGTCCAATATGAGTTTGAGGTTATCAAAGTATTGTTGGAGTCTTCTTTAAAGTAGTATGTGTCATTTTGTGTCATTCCTATGAGGCAGTGGTTCCCAACCTGGGGGGCGCGCCAGGCCTCAGATGATTTGAGACCAAATATCATATTTAGACTTTTTTCTTTCTTTTTTTTTTTACATATAATTGTAACGCAATACATGATTGTTGCTAAAAGCCTTGTCTCTACATTACAATAAAATGTAAAAAATAATTGATTAATTAATTTTCAAGTTAGTAGCTATTAAAGGCATAAAAAGACAGAAATGCATAATTCTTTCTTTAATAGAAATGTTTCCTCTCCGCGTGAGGTGTCCAAACCAGGCTTTTCTGGATAAGCGCATTTTTAAAACATAATCATTGTGCATGCCGGTTTCAGTTGGATTATTTGTCACAGTTGCTCCGATCAGATCGGTCTCCTCCATTTTGTATGAGTATTTACGACTTTTGAAATCCACATAAACACATCGGCAAAATCCGGCTTACTTTGAGCTTGTGTTTTAAACAGTTTAATCCCTTTGTGAATTGTTTCCACTTGCGCCGTCCTTTAATTTCTTCATACAGCGGGAATCCAAATAAATTAATCCTGAGTCCAATAACCATCAAAGTCACTCCATTACGCTTTCATCCTCCTTTAACAACATACTTCACATTCATCCAGTTTGTGACAGTAGTTGTAGCATTTTTGAGACTTTTAAACTTTAATTACCGCAGTTGCGTGCCAACCCCCCCCCCCTTGGATGTGTGTGTGGGGGGGGCGCAACTTCCAACAGGAGTCATTTGGGGGGGCTCTTGGGAAAAAAGGTTAGGAACCCCTGCTATGAGGGATGTTTATGGAACTCACCCTGTAAGCCCTAATAAACCGCACAAACACGGGGAAGAAGACGGAGGGTGGCGTGGTTTTGGAGTTCTCCCCGAAGAACTTCACTGCCTCGTCAAAGGCATCCTTTCAAAGACAGACAGTTGACTTGGTTAGAAAACACTTCACTACAAGAAAAGAGCCGTAACATAGAGAGCTGTGTTTATATTACCTGTGCAATCTTGGCATCCTCCTGCAGCTTCTTCAGCTTGTTCTCATTGTGTGTGATGAAGTCTTTGAGCATGGTGTTGTGTCCGTGCATGCTGTACTCTCTCTTGGTCAGCTCCATGCCTCTCTGCAGCTCCCTCACATCCATCAGGACGTTGTCCAACGACACTGTGAACAAAAGCAGACATAGATGAGTGCACAGGAAACGTAGAAATGTGTGATAGGCAGCAAACACATCTGACTGCACGGCTCACCTGCTGCAGCTTTCTCCACGTAGTGCAGCTCGTTGTAGAAGAGCGCAACCTGAGAGTACTTCTCTTTGACTACGTTGGCTATGTAGTGTAACAGCGTTAGCTTACGGTCGGTCGACTTGGTGTCGAGTAGCTGAAGAAGAAAACAACAAACTTTAGAAAACATCTGTGCAGAAAAAGTGAAAGGCTTTAAACTCACAGACAGGAAACTGACCAAGTCTAAACTTTGCAGCTTGAACCCGTACACTGCTCCTCTTTTGCTGCTGTTCATGTAGTTCCCGAGGGCCAAGATGATCTGGAGAACAAGAGAGAACACTGTAAGCTAAACCTTGCAACCATTTCAACATTAAGTTCAGTCCACACACAAACGATTGATTTACCTCTAGAATTTTCTTCAGCTTCTGTGACGACTTGATAGAAACAGAAGCTGCAATGACTGCATGGATTTGCTGTGGGGGAAGCGAAGAGGAAGGCATGAGAAGATTTGCATTAACTTTCTATAGTCATCCCAAAATAATGCCCCACTTTTTGTATAGATAGAAAAGGGTTAGAGATCCCAGTTCTCACCGGCGTGAGCATCTGAATGCTCTCACTGAAGTTCCCGATGAACGCCATGATGGTCATCTTATTCATGAGCCTCTCGATCTTGCTGAACTGCATCATGAAGCGGTCCTCGCCCGTCAGGCTCTCCAGCGGTTTGCGCTCCTTCTCAAACTGCCGCATGACTTTCACCTCGTGCTCTGTGGGCTGGAAGCGCATCAGACACTCAACGTAGTCCACCGGCAGAGTGCGCAGGTCAAAGCTGAGAGAAGGGCAGAAAAAGACCATTTAATGCCATGTGGTGTTGGAGAAAAAGAAAAATGACTGATGATAGGAAAATAAAGTCACAACCAAATAAGAAAGTGAGAAACTTGTAAAAAAAAAAAATATTATATTTTCACAACATTTCAGGTAAAAAAGGTTCATCCAGAACTGAATTTATAATTAAAAACAACAATCTTTACAATATCTTGGGGCTTACATCTGAATGGCCTTGGAGATCTCCTCGGGACTCTTGCCCACTTTCCTCAGTGTGATGGCCAGGTTCTTGGCTCTGTTGGAGTCCAGCAGCGTGATCTTGTTGGGCCCCTTCTGGATGACCTTCTGTTTGCTGGAGGTGAGGTCGATAGCCGGGCCCTGGGCTTTCGTCTTAAACATCTCCTCAAACTCGTCCACGTTCAGGTCCTAAAAGACGTACACAAAGACTCTGTTAATGTTCTGTTCTCATAAAATGGGGTCAGATGTAGGCAGACTCATACTGAGGGCAGACTCATACCTCGAGTATCCTCTCGTCATCGATCTCATTGAAGACCGTCCCGTTGATCTGGTTTGGTTTCAGGGCGACCCAGTTAAAGACGGGCATACGGAACTTAGTCTTGATGGGTTTCTTGATCTTAACCGCTGCACAGGAAACAGAAGAGTTAACACAGCGTCCTTAAACACTGAGAGTACACACACTCACATTCACACACGTGCAGGTGAAGGGGTGGACAGTGATTGGTGAGATGACCATTTCAATTCTGAAAGGACACAACCCTACTACAAGTTGATCTATTTTAATTTTATTGAGAAAGAACGCTTCCTTAATTGAAACAAAATGAAGTCACTTGGTCAGCAGAGTGCAGCCTGTTGGTTGAAGAATAAGTCTAAAGGGAACACCCTGTGCAGTAAATGGATATGCTGAGGATTTCCTGCACTATTTATCGCACAGATTATGGCTATTTGTGACCACCTGGGCTGATTCACTGGAGCTGTGCACAGCGAGGTGGCGCCCTGCTTAGCCACAGAGACGAGGTGTCAGCAGGGACAGAGATAAGGCCGCCACGAGAAAGTAAACAGCATTCCAACTCTGGTACTCTCTATCATCAGCGTGCCACAGCAGGTCACTCTGTTTCAGCATGCAAACAACACAGAGAGATGTGGCAATATTCCATTCATACAAACAAACACATACACTTTAACAAAACTACAGCAAGGGGTGAATCATGCAGGATTTTGAAATATGGTATTTTCATTGTTTGAAATCATCAGAATTGTTCACAGGAAGTCTCAACGCGAGAGGAAAACAGCTGCATGACGAAATAATTCATGAAGTCAAAGTGCACAGATTTTTGTAATATGTGGTTCTGAAATGCTGCCAAGCTCATGTTAGAAAAAGAGATAATGTGTTTGAGAAACGTGAAAACTCTTTCTAAGGGACATGAATTACACAAATGGGACTTTTGTGTTTGTTTTCTACTGAGATACAAAGACTGAAAATACCATTTTCAAAAACTTGTGATAAAGGAAGGGGACAGAGGGGGGAACAAAACACCGAACACGACAAGCAGAACCTACAGGAAAGTTTGATGGGTCCCTCTGGTTGGCAGAAAAAGAAACAATCCAAAGATAAATCGTTAAGAAATTGTCAGTTAGTGAGAAAGCGTACACATGCCCATCTCAAACACACAGTAAAGGATGTATTTGTTTAAAATCAAACTTAAAAGACTTTTATTTGACTGACTGACATCACTGTTTTGGATCTCAGGAAGTTTTGCTTACACACGCATCATGCACACTCAGGAAAATGCACCCACATCTACATGCAGTAGAGAGAAGTCTCAATGAGTCACATGGGGGGGGGTCTGACCTTTTATTGATCAATAATCTAAGCAGTAGCATGCCTTTTAGTACATTTGATATGCAACGTTCATTTAGTAGGTTAAGTGTCAGACACAAATACGGTCAACTCAACTCTGATGGGCTGATGGGGTTGAACTTGTCTGCTATTTATTAAACATACAAATACATATAAAGACTAACTTTGTTGAACAAAAGGTAATCAGTTGCAAAAGGCTTATTAAAGCCTGGACGTCACATGCATGCAACGGCTTCACTAAAGCCTCCCAGCAGCAGGGAAAGCAGGGAAAGCAGTTGGGAAATGAGTCTAATATAACGGAAAATAGCAAAAAAAACACACATAACTCACACAGACACACACCTGAGTCAAACGTGTATGAGACGACCTTACCTGCTAACCCAGAGTTCATGATGACAGTGGGCGTCCCACAGCCGGGCAGTGGGGGGGCTCCAGGAGGAGGCGGAGGAGGTGGTGGTGCTGAGAACTGTGAGAGTGGGCCTGGTGGAGGAGGCGGAGGGGGAGGCGGGGGAGGAGGGTGGGGGAGCGTGCTGCTGCTGCTGCTGCTGCTGCAGGGATGGCTGACGGTCCGTTTGACACTAAGAGAGAAGAAAGACGCTCAATAACACTTTTCAACAGAAATGCAAACTGTGATTATTATTTCAGCTTGAATGCTATTAAACTCATTTTAAACCCACATGTGCCGTTCAGTGGCAGTGGGGGGGCTGGCGGTGGAGGAGGTGGACCCGGCGATACGACTCCCATATGATTGGGACTGTAGGCAGCACCGTTCCCTCCCATCACAGCAACCGGCAGGCCCTCTGCCCCCGAGGGGGGGGAGGGCAGGATGGAGATGTCTCCGTCTCCCTTCTTGTGGATCTTGATGGTGCCTTGTCTCTCCAGCTCGTGGATCTTCCTCTCCAGGTTACTCTGCCGCTGGATGGCCTCGTCCTTCTCCTTCAGCACCAGCCGCAGCGAGTGCACCTGAGAGCTGGCGTCTTTGTACACTTCCTGTGTGTGAGATGGACGGACATAGTGAGTTAAGATTAGTTAAGGAAGTCTTTTCTAACTCATGATTTGTGTTTAGTGTTTATTTTGTGTAATAGTGAGCGTCTAATGGAAACCTAAAAGACACAGTTTGAGACTGACCCTGATCGATTCAAGGTCCTTGTTCCTTTGCATCAGCTGCTTCTCCAGCTCCACGATCTTTGACATGGCCTCATTCTCCGTGTCCAGCAGCCTCTCTGTTATCTAAAATGATAAATAGCCAGGAAATTAAGTTGTTGCGGTAGCAGCTTCCAACTAAATACGTTAAAATAGAAACCACATTTTGAAGACTTCAAAGTTCTAAATGTTACATAAAGTATGTGTCCTTATAAAGTGAGTAGTTCTTGAGATAGATCGATCCTATATTCACCCCAAATTAGGAAATGATATTGTTATAGCAGCAATGTGTTCAGGCATTCAAATACTCAAAAGTTGAAATAAAGAATAAATATAATTAAATAAAAATGAACATAAACAGAAAATATATACATATCAACAGCAGAAAACTAAAATATCACAAAGAATACACAATATAAAATATTCTGGATAAATTAGAATGCTCAAAATAAAATGTATTGTAATTAGCAACATGGTAGCAGCATCTAACTCAATATGTGAACAGACTACAGATTTTAAGGAAGTCTAAGTGTCCTTCTAAAGTGAGCACTCTGTCTTTTTAAAGTGTCTGGCAGTTAAGGGAAAGCATGAGATCATAGTAAATCCCAGACTGTGGGGGGCTCTCACATGTGACATGTTCTCCTCCAGCTCCTCCACACGCTCCAGCGCTGCGTTTTTGGTCTCTGCATCCTCCAGAAGGGCTCCCACGTCAAACACATTGTCCAAGTAGGCCTGGATCTGAACCTGCAGCTTGTCACTCTCTGTATGCTTTAGTTTCTGGAGAAAAATGCACACCAAAGTAAAGATATGATAACATTCAGACAGTTAGGGAGTGAGAGGTGGGAGACATTTGCTTCTTCAGTTCTAAGCCGACATCTCAAACCCCGAAGCCAGCATTGATCTCATCTGAGACGAGGATTTAAAGAACTGACAGATATTTCTTCTGAGGTCATGGAAAACACATTATTGACTGCTTCTCTGTAATGACAACCTCTGCTCTGTCTGGGCTGAGCTGAATGTCAAGAGCGGGAGTGTTTGGTCTGTCTGTGAATGTTTCCTACAGCATTACGTCTCAACTCACGTCTAAGTAGTCGTCCAGACACAGCTTGGTGAAGTCGAACTGTAGGTGAACTCTGAAGTTCATGTCCTCCACGGAGTGCACAACTATGTTGATGAACTGCATACAGGCCACCTGGGAATAACAACAGAAGAAAGAGTGAACTAGTGAAATGCAGAAACAGTATACTTTCTGAAGGTTTTTTAAATCATGCATATAATGTGTGTGTGTTAATGACACTCAGCACCTCTGTGAAATGATGTAATGCTTATTATCACATCTAAGGCCTTTCAATATGGCTTCCACTGACATTGTGTGTATAAAGCTTTATTATTATTATAGCTGCTTTGCGGGTAGAGAAGCTTATCTGGCAGATAAAGAGGATCTGAAAAAACTAATTAACAGAAAGAACCAGTTCAACTCCATTGCCTGCCTCATGGGAAGCTGCGTAAACAGATCCAGGAGGCTCTTCTTCCCACAGTGTATGATGCACACACACTTCTTCTCACCCTGACATGGCTTAATGAGCTATCAGAAAGAGGCTCTGTTGTCGCTGTGTGACAGGGCAGCTTTGACAGAGTGTGTTTGCTTTACTGCTGCTGTCAGACGACGGCCTATCAAAAGGACTGTGAGTGGACTTGGGACGTGAAGTCCTTCACACACAGCATCTGTTGGATTTCACTCACGCGCACATGCAGTGTTTGCCTCATATCAATTAAGCCACTTAGATGGACACACACACATTGAGTAAAATACGGTCCAAGTTGGCACTTTCTTCACAGCGTCTTTTAATCTTATCTGCCAGAGCAATTAGCACTCCTCTGCCTGGAAATGACAGACTTGGCAGAGCTTATGGTCACTCCAGTTTGATGCGCCACATATCTGCGGTTTGTGACTTAAATTAGAGGGCTCTTACAAAGACTGATAGCCGAGTGTGTATCTTCAAACTGGAAGCAAAGCTGCACTCTTTGTTGGGTTATTGTTCAGTTGTGTTTAAAATGTCTATATTCCATACCATGAAGTCGATGTTGTTGTCCTCGTTTTTGAAATACTCCATCAGCCTCTCAAACCGCTGTGTCTCGATACACACCTGCAAAACAAAACACATCTCACTTATTCTATTTATTGCAGTTTAGGTGTCGAGAGCAACCAGAAGGCATTTATGCACCAATCACTGCCTGAGACAAAAACATTTTTCATTTGTGCTTTAACTTTTGTGACACACAGTGACACTAGATGAATGCTTTTCCATCAATATTAACGAGAACTGTTATGTCATGGTCCCTTTAATATCACCAATCCCAGTCAGAAAACCAGAGGTTATCATTATTTGGTGAAGATGAAAATAAAATGCTGCTTAATACATCACAGCTCGCCATGACCTCAGATATTCATGATCTGCTGCTGGAGTGCATCTGTGTTCAATATTGCTTATGAGAAAACTTTGATCACATGTACTGTCTAAATTTTCCCATGCTTATCGGAACTGGAATTTGGGAGATTAAAAATAAAAAAAGGAGAGATGCTCTGCAGATCAGACGGTTCATCTGGAGGGCAATGAGGGAGATGGAGCATGATGAAGAATTGAGAATGAAGGGAGGGAGGAAGAGGAGAGTGCATATCCAAAAACCTCGGAAAAATGTTTGAGTCTCAGCCTGCAGCCCCTTCATCACTCACAGGATATCAAAGTCAGTACAGAGGGCTTTTTTAAAATGGACCACCATAATGTGCCCTCAATTCACTGCAGAAAGATACGGAAATGTGAACGAGTTCTCAAATGCTTCCAGCAGCCTACACTATCATGACACCAAGTTTAATCTCATTAGTAGAGCTGCGTTCTCCCTTAGCCTTCTTCTCCTTCTAATGCCATTACCACTGAGATCAACACTCAATATTTCATTCAGGGCTGTAAATATTGCATTAACTGCAGTCGGCCAATTTTTTGCGGGTCCTATGCTATAAAGTTTGGCTGCTGTTAGCTCCAACGCCCCTCCCACTCTTTCCTCCAGCAGCCAGAATACCTTATCCAGACAGACATGGGTCAGCCAAGGCTGTCTTTTTGCATATTTTTGCTATTTTGCGCTTTGATGTGTCTGCTAAATCTAGTTAACACACTTTAATTTTTTTCTCTGGTAGCTAAGTGTGTCCTGATGTGCTATTCAGCTAAAGCAGAGTGTGTAATCTGTTGACAAAGAGCTCATTATATGATGCTATCCTGAGGAATCTGCTGCTCTCACATCTGCCGGCAAAGCATTCCTCCAGGGCTGAGTCACCGTTTGAAATGCACAGTCGAATGTAATGACATATCTGTCTCCTCAGACCCCACTTTCCCTCTCCTTGCAGCTCGTACCTCCTTAAAGTTGTCGAACGCAGAGAGAATAATTTCATGGCCTCCTCTCACGAGACAAACTGCCGCCAGGAGCTCCAAGACTAGAGCTTTAGTTCTGCAAAACAGGGAGATAAATAAAGACGAGGATGGTTAGTAAATGACAGCCAGCACAGCGGCAACCTGTACTTTAACACAGAGCAAACAACGCGGTGTGATTTAAGGTCCTGCCAAAGCTGAAGTTGTAGTTTGGATATACATGGGTGATAATTACAATGTATATTATGTTGTGTATATATATCCTATAAATATTAATTAGCAACATGGACTAACTCTTAGTAACTTGGAAAAAATAACTCTGTAGTGTCAAACTTGAGAGAAACAAAATAAAAGTCCATATTTTTAGCTTATCCATTACATTAAAAGGCAAGTTTTTAAAATGAACGCGCGCGCGCGTGTGTGTGTGTGTGTGTGTGTCCAGTCTCCAGTTCATTCATGCAGGATTTCTCAGGATGAGATGATATGTGACAGGTGATGCGAGCGGTTTCACATCCACTTTTGAGGAAATCCTTGAGCCTCTGGGCACAAAGTGCACACACACACACACACACACACACACACACACACACACACACACACACACACACACACACACACACACACACACACACACAGTGGTGGAGTGTGCCAGAGGTGACCTGACCCGTCTGTCAGGATGGATGTGCCCGAGAGCTACAAAGAAACTCTCACTCTGTGCAGGTGCACTGAGGCTAATGTTTGGACTCTGAATGTTCCATTATGGCTTGGGGTCTGTTGGTATTATATCTGGATTTGTTGAGCTCTAAATGCTATACAACTCCTTTGAGTGAGATATTTTATTTCCTGTGTCTTTCTTTACAGGAAAAGAGCCACGTAAACAAATCCAAACATGTAAATAATAATGGAAATTGTGATTTTCAGTTGAACTTACCTTGGGTTTTTGTTGTTGAGACTTAGTGCAATTTCATTCACAGCATGTGGGTGGGACATGACCATGTTGAAGCCATACTAGGAGATGAAGAGCAAACAAGATGGAGAGAGACAGATACAAATAAGCTAATTAACAGAGAGGAAGAGCATGAGGTGCATCCCCCTGCATAATAAATGAAACGTGGAGCATTAGCAGTGGGACAAATTGAATTAGGCTGCAGTTAGATAAGTGTGCTTTAGTCCAGAGGGACATGCAGTCTGTGTGCACAGGACTGACCTGGTAATTCATGATAGCACGCAGGCACATGATGCAGACGTGGACATCATCTTTCTTGCAAACCAATCTGGAGTTTTTCAGAGTTCTCCGGCTCGGCAGTGTGTTGGAGCTAAAAAACAAAAGACAGAAAAGACAAAAGACATTTAGTGATGAGAGGAACGTTTTTTACCAAAAGAAAAAAGGGACAACCTTTGAGTTTCTGAACACAAACAAAAGTGCACGAGCCCCGGATAAATAAGAAAACAGATGCTATTTGTGAATGACTCTCCATCACACACCACCTACTTCACATAGGGAGGCTGTTAAACTGCCACACCACGTTACATTAACACACACAAAGGCCATATAATCTACAGCCTTCGCCAGGGGCAACAGGATGCCCCCTTTCAATTGTTTTAAGTGTATGTCCTTAACAAAGATATCACTTATAGCTAACACAATAGAAGCAAGTCATTTGCATGCAACACACTGACTGTGCTGCTTTGTGTGGACAAAAACAAGGCATTTTTTTTCTCCTGGTGTAACTCTCACAATAAGAAAAAGAATGCTGGAGCAGCAGTATTACTGAATGATATGCAGAGCCAGTCAGAGCGAAACGGTTTATTTTCAGACTTTTGTCACGAGGTTCAATCACCGCCCTGAGTTCTGGGGGAAAATGTGTCTTCAGGCTACTGATAGGCACGGCTCCCATGCCTGACTTAGCTGTGAGTCACAACATTGTGTGTGTGTGTGTGTGTGTGTGTGTGTGTGTGTGTGTGTGTGTGTGTGTGTGTGTGTGTGTGTGTGTGTGTGTGTGTGTGTGTGTGTGTGTGTGTGTGAGCAGTTCAAAGACAGATGTAGAACTATTTTTGAATCATGAATGTTTGTTGATGTACAAAATGTTTCAGTTAACCATGTCTTAAAAATGTTGTCTAATGTTTACTTTGTTAGTTTGTAAGTCATTTAAATAATAAGCATTCTATTTGAGCAGGATGTGGCAACAATCCTAAAAAGGTGTTTTCCCGGTAAGCCACATCCAAACGGAGGCGTGGCACAATTTTGAGGAAATGAGTATACAATATTTCTTAATCTCAAAGTGAAGATAAATGATTATGCAATATGTTACACCTTGACCTGCTTTGACTTGTCTGAAATTACTCAACTAAACTTTTATATCAAACACTGCAACTTGAATATGACTCCACGGAGGAAAGGAGTTGAAAACTGAAGGAAGAGGAGAGCTGAGTGGACAGCTTTATTCTCTTCAATCAGAGAATCCTTCCCTGAATGTGAATATTTAATGTCAATTCCCAAAACAGCTTGTGCACAACATATAACACCACAGAACAACACTGAATACTACATGTATAAATATAAGATACAGGTCTAACACAGCTATGTATTTCCAGCACATTCCATACCGTCGTATTTCAGAGCACTTTGGGCAGCTCAGTGTGCTTGGTGTCCTTCAAGACGGCAGTTTGAAGAAGACATATACAAGTATTAATTTGACACCCATTGGATCTTACATTATTCTAAATCAAAGCTAAGCTAAAGCGAGATAAGCACAATAAGGGACAGATATTCTGTATTATGGATATTAAAGAATGTATAAACCACAAGAGCAAATGCTTCAAAAACTATTAGCAGGAATCCAAAATACAGAACATGGTTAGAGGCTACCTAAGCATAGCCTTCACTTTTACAGGGCTTTTGTTGAAACTAGGCTAGCTTCTGCACAGAATGGCATTTAGGGAGCCACACAAGCAGCACACAGGCACAGAGGCAAGAACAATGAGGGAAGAAAAACCCATTTGCTCCGAGGAGAGGAGAATTCAGTCTTGAGCGCGGGAGGGAAGGCTGGCAGTACAAATAATTCACATCCCCGACACAGACAGCGGGACAAATAAACTGGGCAGCACTAGCAGGGAGGTATAAAGTACAATGAGGCAGGGGAATTGTGTGTGTGTGTGTGTGTGTGTGTGTGTGTGTGTGTGTGTGTGTGTGTGTGTGTGTGTGTGTGTGTGTGTGTGTGTGTGTGTGTGTGTGTGTGTGTGTGTCTTGGGAGGGAGTAGGGATGCAGGGTAAAGCTGCAGAGGGCTCAGCAAAGTGAGAGACCTGCCTTCTGTTGATGACTGGCAGACAGAGGAGCAGATGACTATAGAGGAACACCAGGACAGAGCAGAAGAGACAGTCAGCCTCACTGAAGACACTGTTACACACACTGTAGACGCTGATGACACAAGGGTACATCCGGAGGAAGCAAATGTGTGGGTGATAATCTGATATGGGCCAATATTGATAATATAGGTGTAACAATTAAAAAAACAATGAGTCAAAGAATAAATATGTCCTGATGATGATTAAACAAGCCATCACTGTCTGGAAATCATTGCGGATTAAAAACATGTCATGATAGCTTGAATAGTGTAATAGGTGCGGCTTTCATATCTAAGACTATCTACGACTGATTGCAAACTCTAAATAGAATTAAACAAAAATACCTGAATGCCACATTTACTTATTTCACATGTGTTACTTAAAGTACTTTTGAGACAATAAGCAACGGAAAATAAGTTTTGATTACCATGCAAGGATAATACTAAAGAGGCATGTGCCTCATTGGATCAATGGTGCTCTGTGTACAGTGTGTTCAAGTTAACCTCTTCAAACTAAAGGATTAGAGGTCACAGAAGTCCTAGCGGGTGCTGTACTGAAACATCAATGGCATGACATGGAGGATTAGTGAAATAATGCACAAATGAATGGGATTTATTCTTCAGAGCCACATTAGCATCAACTTAAAAATTAACTTCTGTGAAATCTTCTGCTCGGGATTTGGAGTTAATATGTTTTTTTGATGTTCATAAAAAAAAAAACAGACTTGGTCCTTGAACAGATGTTTCAGTCTGTCACATAAAAACCTGCTGTCATGTGTCTCATCATCATGTGCAAAATCAGCCTGTGTTTGACAATCCTAAAAACCTAGACAAATAGAGTTTGCCTTATGCTGCAGAAATGTGTCTTAAGCCATTTAAAGTCTTACAGACCTCATGACTACATAAAAGGGCTGCTGAAGCATCATATGAATGGTGTGACTTCTCAAAATAATCACAATACAAACACGATGCTCCAGATAAACACTTGGTACAGTAAACTGCAAACACAGAAATCACACAAACACACATGGGTATTGGTAAATCTTCTTAACCATCAATGTGTGTCCTTATTTACCGTATCGTGGAATGTCGCCCAGCTCGTGTGATGCCGTTCCCACTGAGAGACGACGGCAGGGTGCCTCCTCCATGCAGGTCTTCTATAGAGCGGCTCCAGGGCTTTGACTTGTCCATAGGAGCATCTGGGTTGTTCTCCTCACAGTCTCCATCAAACCTGTTGCACCAAGTAAACAACACATATAATAAGAAACTACACAGTATGCATTCACTTGCCAATAGTTCAAGCTTTATTGAAGCCATTACAATATGTTTTTTTGAAAACAATAAAAACATTGGTAATATATCAATAATTTTGTGTTGTTTTTAGCAAATAAGGTCTGATTTTACACCTTAAAACAAACTTTATATGAAACGTATCAGTAACTGTAAAACATTCAACAAAGTTACCAGAAATATTTATTGAATAACATCACTGTATTATTGCCTGGCATTCATAAAAGTACTTTTTAGCTACAGTAGCTAACTAGCCTAGCTAAGGCAAACAACCAGCTAAGCTCAACTAACCACACACTTCTGTCTGTAACATGAGCAGCTAACATAATTAAATATAAATGTATATATAAATAGAGACATCTGCTAGACAAATTACCTATTAGTCCCATATAATGTATCTCACATATTGGTCTAGCGCTAATGTGTGCCAGGAGAGGTGAAATGTTCTCGACTCCAGTGCTAACGCTAACATTTCAGGTTTTTGGTTTAGAAATAATAGTTAGGCTTTCTCAGGTTTTGTTGTACTTGGCAGAAACATTGGAAAGAGCTGGTAGTTACAGCATACCTGCTACGATCCATTTCACTTTTTAGACTGGTCGTTTCCATGACCTATATATACTGCATTGGTGGTACTGAGGGTAAACACACTTTTATGGCTAACCATTCATAATGTGGACAGACCATAATAACATATGGTGAATTAGGGAGGCTGAATTAACCATTTAACTGCCTGGTTCTTTGGCCCTGAACAGGGACCTTGTGACTGACTAATAATCACACCATTAATCCATGAATAGAAGCCTATGGTTGGTACAATACAACGTGCCAATGTGTCAGCAAATGGCCTCGACTGACTCAGTGTTTCTGACAAGCAGGCAGCAGAAGCAGCAGCATTAGTGGTGGTGGAGATGCATCAGCGGCTGTGCAGAATAGCAGCATTGTGCCACTTGTGAGTTCTGCATATAGACTATAGTTAGTTGGAAAAAAAGCGCTGGTAGTGACTTACGTGACGGCATACTGTGCAAAAGAAAGATACTCCACCAGCACGTCCAGGCCTTTGTTATCCTCATTTAGGAATTCCCTCACCCAGCTGAAGAGAAAGAGAAACACAAAAGTTTATCAGCACACAAAGTCTTACTAAAATACATTTTAGAAAGGGCACACCTTCAAAACAACCAGAACCAGAATTGTTTAATATTGGGAGCTTTTCAGTTGAATGGATTTCAAAAGCTCATTGCGGTTGGGTTAATCTTAGCTTAAAAACTCATTCTCTGAGTCTGGAAAAAAACAACACATGTTTTTAAAAACAGAACATTTAAAGAATGTTATATTCTTTTTACTTGTATGTTACCTGCCAAGAAACCCAGGCATGTTTTTATTAGCATGCGTGCCCATGTGAATATGTAACATGTTTAGTAATTGACATGCCTCCCATTCAGCATTTAAAAAAAGACAAACTGCACCAAAATAAATAATACAGCAACAGTACTGCTGTTACAATAATGTTGAGATATTTTTTAAGTGCCTTTTTGTTTAGCACAATGTGTTATAATATTCTATGCAGGCTTTAACCATACCTGACATTGGTATACAGATGTTTTCAGATTATTCTCCCTCTCTCCCTGAATGTCTCCCTCCCTTTACCAAGAGGAATTGTAATGACCCATTTGACCGACTTCAAAGCTTCCCGGCTCAAAGCAGCAAACATATCCAGCATGGAAAAGCCCAGGCATCCGAACACATACAGAATCTCATTATTGAGTTTACTCTGTTGCTGTTTCTCTAACCTCACACATAGTTTGCAACTGTTGTAAAGACATGCCATCAGAATGATCAAAAGCCCATTCTCTCCTCTCTTTACAGACACTGCAAAGCTCCCGCTACCTTTGGCATGTGCTGTTCTCTCTCCATATTTATAAGCAGAGCGAGTGGAATCACAGAACATCTTTATTTAATCGCATCCTATGAGGGTGCTATTTACTGGAGCCCCGACGGCTTCGATAGGCCTGATTGCTCAGTGATTAGAGAAATGTAGAAGACATAAACATAATGACAAGCGGGTGAGCTTGAGTGGTATTGATCAGATGAAGATGTAAGGTTAAACTGCTTTAAAAATCCACTAGCTGTTTCTTTATTAGCTCCCCTGTGGTGTAACTATATGGGAGTAAGTAACTCTAACGAGAGCGTCCAGTAAAGCGGTGCCTGGTGGGGCCTTTAAAAAGGGCTTGTCGGGACACATGGTAATCATTACCACAGGACACTAACTAACAATCCTCCCATTCACCAAATGTTGTTGACCACTGAGCAACATGTGAGGAGCTGGGGGTATATTCAGCAGTGCTTGTACAGGGACAATCTACCCTTTATACATTGCCTACATGAGAGATGTATTGCTCTGTTTAACCTCTGAAAAGAAGCAGACGTTATTCACTGTCTGAGTGGGTGACATCTTGCTCCCTTGCCAAGCCCTCCTATCTCAATCTCACTCCCTGTCATTGCCATGTGGTAGCACTTTGTCTAATCTAGATTAGTTAGATTATTTATGTGATCTAGTTTACCAACATAAGGTCTCTAAAAGGAATGAATCCATGTAAACAATGCCTCGACTGATTTGCCAGACGGACATCATCTCTGGCTGTGGTTTGAGTTTATTTTGGTCTGAAGAGCTGAATCTGATCGATGTGTAAACAGTGTGTAGGAGTGTGAGAGATGGTGTTGTCAGAAAAATGAGATGATTTGTGTGAGAGTCAGCGAAATACATGAATTGGAGTCCAATAATATGTGTGTGTGGGAGGAAAATAGAAAAACAGAGGGATTAAGAGATATAGTTTGGATTACATTTATTTGAGGTCTGGTTGTGTAACCACTACATATTTGGCTGTCACAACATTCTGTGGCCAGCTCTCGTGGCAGCCTCTCCCTGTCCTACAAAGGGTCTCCATGTCTCCCACCTTCAGCCTCCTCCTAGCTGCTAGCCCTGGTCATCAATGCTAACAAAAACATTCTGGGGCTTCATTTATGAATAACCCGTAAACACAGTTTTCTACTTTGTGAAAAAATTCAACCAAACAATATTCTCTCATCCCTATGCTTAATCTGCATTTCTTTAAGAGTTGCCTTGATAAATGATGTCCCCGAGTCCTCCAGATCCCAGAATGCATTAGGTCTAATTAATGATTCAGAGTAATCTATCAGAGTCATTACCTATCAGGGTCTCTAATCACAGAGATAGGCCCTATGATCTATTGCCAGACCAAACACTGGGACATTGTGTGATGCTCATAGAGATATTGATCTTTCCTTTACGATGACTAAAACGCTGAATCAATGTCAGCTGCAGCAGGCTGAGGCTTGTTATTCTTGAATACCTGGAATTACACACAATGCTGCTGTGTTTTTATCTGTTGGGAAACCATGATATCTTGTTACATCTGAAATAAAACACCTTAAGGACGGCAGACTGAAACACTTAAGCTTCAAGCTGTGCAGCAAGAGAATCGTGTTTTCATTTGTAGAGGCTGCTCACGTGACGTTTGCCCTTAACAATCAATCAATTCATCTTTTCTCAATCGCCCCATGGCTCTCTGTGTAATATATTGGGCATGAGCACTGAAATGAATGGGGGATGGTGGTGGTGGTGCTGGTGGTTAGTGTCAAAGTCTGCGTCTCCGGGTGTCTGGAATGTCAGACTTTTTCCCCCCCTCAATCTAATATAACCAGGTCTGGGACATTCAATACTACACAAGCTTTACACACACTCCTGCAGTGACTCACCCTATGTGATTGGTCCGTAACGAAATTTCCAGTTCTCTCAAGACTTGGGTGGACTCCTGAACTCGCCGTCTGAATTTCTGAGGAAGGAAAAAAAGGGGGGGGGGGGTTAATAAGTCATTGTACCACTAGTACTGTAAATCATCAAGTAGCGGGGTAGGGATGTTTTGGCGTGGGGAAAAACTTTTTTTGATAGAAAGGCCAGACAGAGAGGCATGGACGCAACCACTGTAACATACACATGTGAAAGCAGGCAACTGATTACCAAATAAAAGTTGGGATTGGGGTTTTCTTTACATTTTTAAGTGGGCCTCGAACTTGCCAGTAACAATCCAACCGGCTATCAGAGGAGGCAAGCTGACTCATTGGAAACTGTGAATATATATTATCTTGTTTGCTCACATTTATTCTTTATGTAGCTGTAATCCCTACTAGTACCACCGTGATAAAATCAAGTAACCTAATTGGTTACCTCTCAAGCAGCAAACCCAGCAGCAACACAAACACACACACACATTCTGTCCTGTTACTGTGGCTACCGTTTAGGAGTGTGTTACTGTGTGAGCAACGTGCATTAAGGTATGAGCTGCCCGTGAAAAAAACTGAACAGAGAACATTAGTCGGCTCCTCTTTGATTTGAGCCTCTGATAGGAGGTTATCTGCAGGACCAAACAAACAAAAGGCCCTTCAGGCTGTTACACAACGGCAGCAGCAAGGGCATGACCGGTGGTGATCACACAGAAGTGGAAAATCCCTGATGAGAGGGTGTGTATCTGTTGTATCACAACTTCAAACAAAAAATGATATTCTTAAAATGTCTTATTTTTTAAAGAGAACAATTATTTTATATAAAACATTTTTAGCGATTTCTTTTTTCATGAGCCCCAGGACATAAACAAAGTCCAATAGCAAAGGTAAAATATTCAGTAAATAAGTTGGTAATCAAGCACCAATGCAAAAATATCCTTAGTTAAAATGTCTCAAATGTGAGGATTGTTGCTTTTCCCTGCTTTAGTTTCGGACTGTTGGTCGGACAAAACAATACATTTGAGGATGTCACTATAATTTTTAAGACAAACCAATTAATCGAAACTGTTTAGGAATACTCGTCAGAAGGACAATTGCAAAGAGCAGCTCTAATTATGACCTTCCTCTCAAACTTTCTACATTATATATATATTTTTTTTTTACTTGGTTAATAGGTTTTCTGCTTGTATTCTAGCTAAAATGTGAGAAGAAAGTAGAATAGAATAAAAGAGAAGACAAGAAAAGATCCACCCAGGGTTGGAGGGTCACTTTCCATGATGCGTTTGTATCAGGGAGGAAACAGAGCTCAGCCCTGTGTTAACCTATTATTAACATCCACAGAGAAGAGAGCTGTTCCCATAGTATGAGTCTCTCTTTGGTCTGTGTCTTTGGGCTTGGGCGGTGTGTGTTTGGCACACGAGGAGATGAGAAACAGAGTGTTTTTATTAGGGAGGAGCCCTTTGTGTGTTTGTGTGGAGAGCAGAGCACATTTAGGGGTACTGCACAGGCTCTCACAGACACCCCCCCTTCTTCTTCTTCTTCTTCTTCTTCTTCTTCTTCTACCAAACGCCCTACACTCCACACTTTAAGTACTACCAGCTGCAACACAGAGAGCAGGAAGAGAGAGGAGCCGACTGTGTGGGAAGAGGGTGAGGACGGCAGGAGGGGGAAAGAGAAGGAGAGGAGGAGACAGGGAGGGAGCAAGGAAAGGAGAAAGTGAGAAACAGGGATTTTGGTGAGTGTGAGCTCAGGAGGGGTCATCCTGGAAACAAATCAATGGCTGATACATTCTTGGGGACGAGTTGGACTGGAGTTCTTCCTCCTTGGCTGCCTATTGGCTGGGAGCTGCCCAGAGGAATGCATCGGAGCCTGCCTATGGAAAGCAGAGGCAATGACCTCCAGCTCTCTCTCTGCGGCACAAAGTGGCAATTGTTTTGGGTTTGAAGAAAAGGGGGATGGAGCAGGAATTTAGAAAGAAGCCCATAACTCTTTATTTTCCTCCGTGCTCCCTTGTGCTTCTTTTTTGTCTATCTCTCATTTTCTGTCTATCGCGCCCTCTCTCCCATTATTCAGCCTTCCTATTTCACTCCCTCTCCTTTGCACTTCTCACTTTACTTTCATGCAACTTCTGTTTCCTCGTCTACTTCATGCCTTTGATCAAGGCGAGGAAGAGGCAGCGTATCGAGGCAGGATGATTTTCCAAAATCACACGTGTCTCAGCCTTTGAGACTCAACTAGATGATAACTAAACTAAAATAAGCTTTGGCATGTCTCTCAAACTTTGAGTGGTGTAATAAAGTCCCAACAACCAATTAGTCATGCAGCCACAGATGAGTTCATAAAAAAGTAGAGGGAATAAATGTCACTCAATTAAGCTCTAGTGGACTAACAAACATTTAATGTTGTCTAGTCTGTCTGAGGTCCTTCAGCTATGACTTTGAGTTGAGTGTGAACATGGGCACCACCTCATTCAAGGAGGGTAAACACACCTATTTGTTATTTGAGAAGATGGATAACACTGTTTCTGTATCCAAATATGAAACTACACTCAGGAGAAAGTAAGTTTAGCTTAGTGTAGGCACAACATAAACATTACCAGAACCTCTGGAGCCAATAAAATCTGATGTTTTTACAATCCATTATTTGTATGGAGATAACATGTTAATAAGTAACTTTATGTGCCTAGGTACAAGATTGAATTACCTTCAAATAGAGCAATGCTAGCTGTCTCCCTCATGTTTCCAGCATTCCAATATAACGGGTTATTTATTTATTTATTGGCTGTTTTAAAATGTCAGCCACTACTTTTAGCACACCGCAAACTATTTTGATTGTTTACTGTTGTATTGTTTAATTGTTTAATTAACCACTAATTTTCAACTGTTTATTTGTTATTTGTATCCAATTGTTTCAAAATGAAGTTGAACCATTATGGGCTTGCTGCAAATACACTTTTTGCATCACATGGTGTCCATGTGTTATGGCTGACTCTATACAGTATGTAGATACATGTTTTTAATTAGTGTAAGCTACTAAACAATCTTTCTACCAGCCCTGAAAAACTACTCGACTGAGGTACCACCATTGGGAATCACTGTCCTGCACTTCAATAATGCAGGTCTGAATCTCTAGCACACACACAATACTATTTTTTTTGCATTTTTTTTAAATCTAATTCAATATTTCAACAACTCTGTGTCTGCGTATGTCCTGTCATTTGAGGTAATTTGTGTGTCTCTATTCACACCTCTGCTTTTCCCCCTTTGCCCTCGTCACTATAGTTCTGTTCATGCTGCTCTAGCTGGCTTTTTGTGATGTAAAATCCCAGTCAGTGCAAACTGAATTATTAAGCGATTTGTTGTTATTCTGGCAGAGTTCACTGGCTAATTTGTTTATCACGGAGATTGTTCTCCCAGCACTGCCCCCACAGCTCTCTCAGGCCAAGAAGACTTCATTTTGGCAAAGCCTGAGAGCCGGGCTGATACTTTTCTTCATGGAGCTCCTCCTCTTACTCCCTTCTGCTGCTTCCAGGCAACCACAGAAACAGAAGACATAAGATCTGTTTATCATGTCGCTAAGACTCTTCTGATATCTCCGGTTAGCTTCTTCACGGCTGCAATGCAACATCAATTAAATCCCTGTTTTTGCCAAATGACACTACAGCTTTGCAGATGTCTCTTAAACCTGGGCGTACCAGATAAACAACGGCCTCTGTTCTCTCTAAGTCACACTGTTGACTGTTAACTTAAGTTCCCAAGCTGTCTGCTCATAGAGTGATCCTTCCTCAGCTGTAGGGACATCCTGGACGAGAGATAGAGGGTCGGGGGGGAAGGAAGAGCAGCAGTGGAACAGGATAGTCTGTTTGCGAGGGCACTCACCTTTCTCGTGACTGCTGGGTCTAGATAACTCCTCAGCTTTTGGAGGTACGTGTGAGGCGGGTTTTTCACTTGGAATCGCTCCTATAAATAAAAGGATAACAAAAGAGTGAGATGAACAATTGAAAACATGTGTAATACAAGGACAGAAGTAATACTCGCATTGTATGAATGTCAGGAGGTTTTGTGGATTTGGTTGACAATTCAATTCCATTGCACAGTAAATAATTACACCTCACAGGTCTGGACACATTGCCGGTAAACTGATCTTAAGTCATCATATTGAAACTGAAAAGGCTTTGAGTAAACATGAGTCATCCTTCAATTGATGGGAAACCTCAGATTAGGTTCCACTTCATGAGGATAATTCTGTTGAACTTTAACAATAGACCTTGTGTGGACACCTCTGCTGTACTGTGAAAGCAAATGTTGTTTATTAGAGAACAGGTCTGGCACATTACAACAACATAAACTGTAATCAGATTTCCATTCTTTTATTAATAAAATATTCAAGCTTAACAGTGGTTTCTGCATCAATTATGTGGTTTAACAGGTGGATGAGAGCAGGAATGCGATGAACTCTTCTTAAATTTGCATCAACTGCCTGGGGCATTCTTCAATGTGTGTGGCTGTGTGCGCACCTTTCTTAAGTTCACAGCCAGGAACAGGTTTTAGGTCAAATCCCCTCACGATTGTGCTCTAAATATAAATACAGGAGATTAGTGCTGGATTTGGATCAGTGAGTAAGCGGGAAACAGTATTTGGATCAGACTGAGCTCAACATCACAGCAGCATGTCTGGTTCAGTTCAGTGATTTACCACACTACAGTCAACCGCAACAGAGTGTCAGAATGGGGAGCATACCATTGAGGAATAATACTCTTTATACGACACTCAAAACATATTATAAAGTAAGCAATACGCTACAACAATTGACAGGCCTTCAAGGAAAAGTCTACCTTAAGACCTATTATCTGTTCCATATCATCCATCTTTGATTTTCAATGCATACCAGAGTGTGCAAGTATCTCAGACGCACATGTATTTACAGTAAGACGTCACACTTTCCTTACTCAGCTCAAGCAGAGCTGCATCACGTCATAGGTCAATGCAGATATTTTTACATATTCTCTTTTTTGATTAAAATGACTCCAGAGTTCCCCCAAAGTGTTTTATAGTGGAGGTTAGCCTGCTGACTTGAAACAAAGACCACCTCTTCTAAAAATATATATATATTTTCACCACCATTGCATTTCCGATTTGATTGTTTTTTTATCCTCTTCTTATCTGGGATGTCCAATTTCTGCTCTGGTTTCCAAGGCTTGTCATTTAAAGACAGTGGCCATGGACTTGCTGAGAAAGGACAATGGCTGTTCAAGATAAAACATGTAAAAGGTGTTTCCTCTGTAATGAAGGATGGCCACTAACACCAGAAGCTGTTGAGCTGCTGCTATCAAATCAAATCTTCTGACAGTCCAACTTCATAAGATGTAGCCTTAATATACTAAAAGGCTAGAAAAGGGTTATATTTTATGAATGTGTTCTCATCATTGTGCCATCTTTACAAATACAGATACTGAGAGATACAAGCGGCCGAGATGGGTTTTCTCCGCAGGGTGGCTGGTGTCTCCCTTAGGGATAAGGTGAGAAGTTCGGTCATCAGGGAGGGACTCGGAGTTGAGCCGCTCCTCCTTCGCGTCGAAAGGAGCCAGTTGAGGTGGTTCGGGCACCTAGTTAGGATGCCACCTGGGCGCCTCCCTAGGGAGGTGTTCCAGGCACGTCCAGCTGGGAAGAGACCAAGGGGTAGACCTAGAACCAGATGGAGGGATTATATCTCTTCGCTGGCCTGGGAGCGCCTTGGGATCCCCCAGTCAGAGCTGGTTGATGTGGCCAGGGAAAAGAAAGTTTGGGGCTCTCTGCTGGAACTGCTACCTCCGCGACCCGACCACGGATAAGCGGGAGAAGATGGATGGATGGATGGATGGATGGATACTGAGAGATCAGATGGAATCTCAGGGCCACCAGTATTATCGGAAACACCACATTTATCACTGCCAGAGTGCGTCCGTCACAAAAACAGTAAACACAACCGTGGCGTCAGGAAAGAGAGCTGGCAGTCAAACCTATGTGAGCGATTCTTTGCTCGAGAATTATCTGCTGGTCTGCCAAATCATAAATTATATAACAACTACTGTACATATCCTGTTGCATGCAAAGAAATGTGAGGAATGCTTGGCAGTAAATGCATGAAGCAGGAGATTTTGGAAACTAGTCTGGTTTTTATGAGCACAGATATGAACAGGTTCTCACATGACATTGCTGTTAAAGAGTTTGTCCGGGGGATCTGGTTAGGATTCAATTTGAGGGGTTAAAACATTACTAATATGCTTCCCCCTCTGCACCTGAGCAGATACTGAGGAAAGGGGAAATCAGCTAAGAATCACTTGTTTGCCATTTTCTTTGTAAAGACATGTGAGGGTGCTTTTAAGTTTAAAGATCTATATGAACTTCTGTAGGGGAAAATGTGTTCCCACAGGAATACAAATGTCTCAGGATTTTACAGAGATGGGTTCATTGTATAACTTTTCCTTTGTACTCTTGAAAGTTGTAACCTTGTGTTCACATCAAGAGCATCCTCCATATTTCATAAACATCCCGTAATTGCCTGAAAATTGTTTAATATTTCAACCACTGGCTGCGTTTGTGGGGCCTGTTTTTCAAAGAGGATGTACCTGTCATCTATGCTTCCCTGCCTCCCTCCATCAGTGTTGCCATGGTTACATAAAGAGATTCACTATAGCTATGACACAGAAAGTGCTTTACTCCCAGAGCGGCCTGTGCTGTCATGGGTATTTGTTTGTAAGGAAAACAAGAGAGGAAAGGAAGGAATAGTGAAGCAATTTTCTTGGATGTCTGAATGTTAAAACGATGGGGGAAATTAAGGATCTAACACCATGCACTTCCTGGCACTTTATCAAGTAGCAAATAATTTAGATTTTCATGAAGTTAAGTCCAGTAAAAACCGGTCACTTTTAAACATGGATGACAATGATTCATGTGGACACACTTTGAGTACTGGCTTTTAGTGTTCTTTCAGTAAGCGAAAGTAACAAGAAACCAAGACGCTTGTCATCACAATGATTTTGGAAACAGCTTAACTGACAAGAAAAAGGGAACCAACAATTTTCACTTTAGGTCTCAGAGGGGAGTCCACTCGGAACTGAAAGAGGATCTCTGACTCCAATGGGCAGCCTGGTGGGCTCTCTTTGGTACTGTTCCCTTCAGGGTCAGTGGATATCAATACACTTTGAGTGGGAGGTGTTCTTGATCTCGTCTCAGTTTTTCTTCTGTGCTCAGAGAGGCAGAAAAACTCTCTGACACGGAGGTTGCAGGGTGAGTGGAGCACTCAGACCACAGCCCGCTACACAACGCTCTCTTATTTCCTACATGCAGCGCTGACGCCTATCACTGAGTTCTTTAACTTACTAATTGATGTCTGCGCCCTGCTGCGCCACTTAACCCACTTGACCAGGGAAGCCTGGGCAATGTGTAAAGGATAAAGGCAGGGCGATGGAGCATGTGTGCTGTGGTCACGGCACGCAGTGGGACAGACCTACAGGATTATATATTTAGTAGATGTTTGAATGCTCCCTTATTGGGGACTTTCCATGTGCATTTTCCGTCCTGGCTTGACTTGGTTTTTCTTTGAGTGTCGGTTGAAATAAAGCAGATAGCTGAAATTACAAACAGCGGAACATGGGAGAAACCCAACCACAGAGATTCAGTTAGAAGCTACAACAGTACTGTGCTAAACACACACACACACACACACACACACACAGACTTTCAAGAACCCCTTTCTGTGTTCTCCACCCAGGGTCATTTGAGTGGTAAAAGGTATTTTAGTCATAATTGGCCGAGCTCAAAAAAGGTCACTGTTGCTGAGGCGAGCTGGGCGCTCTTTGACCCAACTCCAGAGATCCATGTCCATCTTGGTTGCTGCACGGCAAAAATTATAATAGACACGTAAAGCAGCGCAGCATGGGTTAAACTAGGCAGGGCCAAAAGTGCCAATGGAAAAGCCTAAAAGGTAAACTGTATCAAGGGCTGATTGGTTGGTAGATGAGTGAAATAACTTAAATGTATACATAATAACCAATAGCTATAACGCTGTGTACCTAAGCTTAATTCATTCCACTTTTATCCCGAATTTGGAAATGATGCAGCCAATGTTGTGTGACTTTTACAGCAATACAGGATCATAAAAACAAGTGACTGAAACCCACCTGATCGCAGATAAGTTCCCACTTCTTCTCGTTGTCGTATTGCCGCAACAGTCGCGCTTTGTCTGGAGGAAGATTCATCGAGCTCTGTAAAAAAGAAAAAGGTCAGAGTTAATTGGATGTGGATAATGAAGCCGCATCATTCACAGGAGTCTGGGAAAAAACTGACATCCCCAGATCAACTAAAACACTATTAAGCTCAGACACAGGAGGAAAAAGGTATACAAGATCATTATCTATCATTATTACTGAGATGCATGTTCCTTCACACTTTGTAATGGTCATTATATTCACACTCAAGTGGGATGGGATGGTGCTGCTAGTGAAAGGTCACAAGATCTGCTTAATTAATAGGCTTCTTCCTCTCTGGAGTAAGATTGTATGAAGCACATCTCATGCCAAACTGTCTGTTAAATATAACATTATAGTATGTTAATAACAAGGTGTTCACATGTGCTTATTCCTTTCTCCCTTTTATTCTATATAGTGTTGTTTATATCCTGACTGTCTGTGATTCCCACATACACCCAACTCCTCTTGGTTAATACATCTCGGCTTATTCATTTGCATTTCCTACTACGCAGTTACGGTCAGAAAGGCCACTAATGAGACAATCCCAAAATATCTGCAGAGGAGTCTTACAACACACATGGATAAAGAAGGTCTCTGTTTAATGAGAGCTAGGTTGCTACGCTGAGGCAGAGGACACCCACCTAAGCTCTGTTGTCTGAGTCTGGACTTAACATTTTACAACCAGGCGGTCGAGGTTGACCCCAACATAATAAACTGCATCAAATGTATTTTGAAGTCGCTTAACAGACAGTAGATTGAAAGTGATTTAGAGTGTGAGAACAAAAAGGGAAATAGACAAACAAGTGGTTTAAATTGAAGGAGAAAGCTGTTGTCCGTGCTGTACTTTCAAACTTTTATTTCCCATTCTCCTGACTGCAGTAGATACAAAACGCCTATGTCATGATGTTCAGAGTGATTTCCGGAGAATTGATTGCTGTTGATGAAAAATCTAATCCGACCCATGTGTCTGAAAATAGGCCCAAATCTTCCAAAAAGTGTTACACAACACTTTCTTTATCCTGTATGATTCACCCGCCCTCATGCAAATTAGAAAAACCTTGAAACAATTACCCAACACTTAAAATTGTACTACCTACAGCATGTAGAGCACATCAAATGCAGATATGTCAGCAAAAAAAATTGAAATAAAACAAGTCCCCCAGGAGATTTGTTAAAAGAGCACAGCAAACACTTCTTACAGACTAAAGAGAAAGCAAGACAGAGAAAGAAATTGTTTAGGTGTGGGCTCCTTTGAGTCAAGGCTACAAACAGTTATAGGAACATTACATGTGTGTGAGTGAGATTCTTTCCACTGTCTGCTAGGGATCAAATAGGAAAAATGGTGGCCATCGTGCACCACTCAGCTTGTGGTTTCTTTCCTGGATCATCAGTGTGTTTTCAGCCGTCAGCCTCTACTTTGTCCCCCACTGGATTCTCCTTGCAGGGGGGCGAGAGGAAGATGAATATCCTGGGATCCAGACTATTTCCATGAGCTTGTAACACCAGCACAGAGCCTGACACTGAACGAGTGGTCCAATTCCCAACTTGCTTAGATGTTTAAAAAGGATTTGATTTTCTAATATTGTGGGTTATCTTTTGGCTAGGCTATTTATCCACACAACTATCCTTTTACATTTTTAAGAGAGAGGTCAATGCAGAGAGCTATTCAGGAGGGGCAAGTGTGTTGACTTGCTTATCAATGTTTTTTGGTGCAACACAATCAATTTGAAGCACAACAGTTATGTTTCGTGGTACAAATGTTGTTGTTTGTCCAGTGTACTCTGAGAGCGGGCAGGAAGTGATATTAGTATGCAGGAGATGCTGCCAGCCGGCTGATTGCTGCGGTGCTGACTGCAGGGAATTGGGAGTCTGAGAGGCTCTATTGACTCAGTCTGCCTGCTAACCAGATGACTACAGTTAGTACACATTAAAATAAAATTAGACACCCGAGTAGACAGTCAGATTAAATGACAGAAAGCCACTAAGTGTCTCCTTTTATTACACAAAAAAGTAAAAACAGGATATTTTATTTTGTGGACGGTAAGTTCAAGCTTTGTTATTTCCAGACTCCTGCCTTATGTCTGGATATTGGTTAACTTTTGGCCTGGAGACAAATGGGTTTGTGGTAATGATGTTGGTGCTGGATATGCTAGGTGCTGTGCTCCTGCAGGCTGGATGAGTGGTTTGTTTGCTGAGTCGCTGTGGGTGCACTGAGCTGTTGGCTTCCTGCTTGGTGCCGCTCCAACTAAAGCAAAGAGCCACTTCTACCAGCCTTCATTTCATCCCTTTGCTAATGAGCTGTGACAGGCACTCAGCTCTCTGAGGGTCAGGTTACCCTGCGTCTGCAACCGCACGACTTCTTGCTGTGTGTGCCGTATTTAATAGGGTGATGTTGAAGAGGGTGTGGCAGACATTTACCAACACCTAATACACATGCACCTACATTTCCTCATATGGAGGATTTGACAAGTTTGACCCATTTGACAGGCACAAACCAATCCACTAATTATAACATGAGACGCTACGATCAAGTAATTACACGTCAACTGATACATTAAAACTGAAGAACCCTTCAAGGACATAAATCTGTGTAAGAAGCTTCGTCAACTCAATTTTAATAAAACTTCAACGCAAGAAAGATGTGTTACAAAACAAGGGTAACCAGGCAGCAACACACATTGTCAGAAACAATGATAAAGCATAAGAAACTCAAAATGATCGTGACAGCAGGGGGAAATCATGGAGTTTAATCCTGGATGACCATCTCCTTTCTGTGTAATGTGAATATGCTTCCAATATAACATTTAATCTCCAGAGCAGCTGTCTCACATCTGTACTGCTGGAGAGCCTATGTCAGAGTCTAAAGCAATCTAGGCTACATCTGAGGCACATGGGGCCTCCCCTGATTCAGACACTAGTCCAAGTCATCTTACAACACAAAGCAAAACTAATATTTATAAAATAAATCCCAGGCTAAGTGCATAATAATGGCTCGCTAACACCCTATTATACACTATAGTTGAGACTTAGTATATTGGATAGTTGGCAAATGGTTAATAGTGTAGTGCTGTATTAGACATGAAACAATTCTGTCCAGTTGAACACAATGTATGTTAGCCTTTCTTGGTTTTAGTGAAGTTTTGCTTAGGTAAGGAGAGTAATACAAATTAATTATAAAGACACTCAGCCGAAGAAAGTGCTGTATATCTTTAAAAAGGCATGGATAAATAAAACTTTGCAGTGTGTGTGTGTGTGTGTGTGTGTGTGTGTGTGTGTGTGTGTGTGTGTGTGTCCATACCATGAAGTCGATGTGGTACGCAAAAAGCACCACTCAAGTATACTAAAAGGCAATCACACGCACAGGTTGAACAGCTAACACACATTGTTGTTTTTGAGTTTGTGATCTTAACAACAATATACACCGTCACAAAGAACACGTGATTCTTACTCCCCAGCCAATATAATGTTTTATTGCAATATCCCCGCTGGATAATATATTTTTTACAGTGGAGGTTTGACAGGTTGAACAGATCCTGGGTCAGAGAAGTCATCCCCTGTTAGCTGTTAGGGGCCCCTGTGATCCCCTCTCACCATGGTGCTGCTAAAGTATGCCACAGCGGATCCACTCCGACTGTGCAACTATGACAATAAGTAGCTCAACTTTAACAGCTGCTACAGATATCAATAAATGTCAATGTTTAACCTCACATCAGGCCGATGGCTCTGAAATATGTCGGTGTACATGTATCCTCTCATTAAGCAGTTTGAGTCATAAAGAGAGTAAAAATAGGCAGCTGGCTGGAAGCCCACCAACCAACCACTACCTTCCAGGAGGTCTGCGGAGGCACAGCTGGCGACAAGAGCAAACACACAGCCACATGAGGGCCTGCTTTAGAAGCAATTGCTGTAAAAAGATGTGCTTTGCTAACAAAAACAAGAAGCTGTAGTATGCAAGTCCAAAATAGAACATTCGGAACATCTACAATCGGAACAAATGAATCCAGTCACACTTTGACATTAATGTTCCTGCAGTCTGGTAATTAGTTTGCCGAGTACACTGGAGACCTAACTTATCAGCTCTGAGCAGGATTCAAAATGTGAAACAACTGTTACAAACTGCACAAAGCAAACAGTTTACCTGACATGTCATAACTCAAAGTAACTGATGTATTGAAGTTCATTCTTACAGTCTGGTGTTGATGATGTTGCAGATGTTTAATTTGCCTCTAATGCTGTCAGCCTCCACAGTCAGTTGGGTTATCTCTTTAATGTTTCATCATCAGAAAACAATAGTAAATAGTTGTTAGTACTGTACCAGAATTAAAACTGAAGTACAAAACACAAAGTGGAATGTTACAATAAAGTAAACTTGACTCTTGAGGGTAGCTGTCTATAATTGTTCTTGAACATAAAAGCAATAAGTGCACTCAACACAAGAACAAAATACAATACACAAGGTTTCTGGTAGGCTTTTTTTTGGTTTTGGGGGAGTGATGAGATTTGAATAGGCAATTGGCCCCCGTTTCATGCTCCATTAGTCTTCTTGTTCCGATACAGAATGTGAAAACCCATCTAACACAGCATGAAAACTGCTTTACAAAAAAGATAGAGTCAGTAAAGTGTTGAAAACAAGTTTCCGAGTAAGCTTCTTCTAATGCACATATTATACACCTTAACAAGAGACCGAGAGAGACTGGAGTGTGCAGTGCGGTGCCTCTCCGCCACACTTCCTCCTCTCCCGTATCTTTCAGAGCAGGGATTGATTTGTCCTCGGGGAGTTGGGTTGCATTGAGTTTGAGACACGCCCACGCTCTCCTCTTTCTGCCACTTCTACATTTTTTTTTCCTGCTAATGCACCAACTCCAGAAACAACTTCAATTTTCCAGACTGAGCTAGTAGTGCTGGCATTACATGATCTAAATCAAAACAGTTTTCTCCATGAATAGGAAACAACACAAATCTAAATAATAACAGATCGCAGCTCCTAATGGTGTAAACACGCAGTTTGCAACATC